GCAGCCATCTCACTCTGACCAATTGTTATCTACCTTGGCCTTCACACTCTAACCAGTTGTTATCTACCTTGACCTTCACACTCTGACCAATTGTAAATCTATCTTGGCCTTTCACTCTGAACAATTGTTATTTATCCTGGCCTCCTCACTCTGAACAATTGTTATCTACCTTGGCCTTCACACTCTGACCAGTTGTTATCTATCTTCGCCTTCTCACTCTGACCAATTGTTATCTACCTTGGCCTTCACACTCTGACCAGTTGTTATCTATCTTCGCCTTCTCACTCTGACCAATTGTTATCTATCTTGACCTTCTCACTCTGACCAATTGTTATCTATCTTGACCTTCTCACTCTGACCAATTGTAGATCTATCTTGGCCTTTCACTCTGACCAATTGTTATCTATCTTGGCCTTCTCACTCTGACCAATTGTTATCTTTCTGGGCCTCACACTGTGACCAATTGTTATCAATCTCGACCTTCTCACTATGACCAATTGTTATCTTTCTTGGCCTCACACTGTGACCAATTGTTATCAATCTCGACCTTCTCACTCTGACTTCCTGTTATCTATCCTGGCCTTTTCACTCTGACCAATTGTTATTCATCCCGACAATCTTACTCATACCTGTCTAATCTAACAAGATTTCGTTGTAATAAGAAGTATTCTTCTGCAACACGTCTAAAAGTACATTTTTATGTTTGAAGAATATATTTCAGTCTGGTATTGGATATATTGATAAGATTGATAGAAAAGACTTGAAAGCGGTCATGATGTATACAGAGTTTTGGCAAACACAAGACTTGTAATTTAGATTATACCAGTTATAATGCCATTTTATGCAATATTTCTAGTTATCTTAAATCAACAAGAATCTGAAAACTTGCCCTTTAACAGGATATTTCACACGATATACAACAAAAGCTAAACATTACTTACCAATTATTTACGCAGTGGAGCATTACATTAGATTATATTTACAGTTTTTTAGAATTATTTCAGAAGCCATGTTTTGATGAGTGGAATTGTACCATTTCTGAAAATTATATGGACATTAATGACAGTGAAACCATCACAACTTGTCATAGTTATTGGACTCGCTATTTCCATTAACAACACAACGTGTGTTATATTACTTCCCCGAGATGAATTAGATCATTTCATAATATATTAAGAGGTAGGATTATCCTTGGACGTCGGGGTGTTAAAAACAAAATTAGAAATTTTCATAAGAATTGTTGATAGCCTTGGGTTTTAAATAATATTAGATATTTATATTACATGATACATAAAAGGAAACTGAACATTTTAAAAAAGAAAAATTATAGTACATTTCAGAGGACATTTTCTACCCAGAAGCAGATTCTAATATCATGTTTTTATCTTGGTTCGTTTGTACATTGAAATCATGAAAGAAATCATCCGATATAAGCTTTTCACCTATCGAGCTCTCGAGATTAATTCTAATAAGACCAAGCTTATCAATTTCAAGTTTGCTTCCTGATTGTTTTAATGTCAAAATCAACTAACTAGCATTAATGAATTCCCGGTTATAAAGATCATTCCACCACAAAAAGTTATCGTAAGTAGCATATCAGCAATAAATTGGCATTGCTTTAAAATACTAGTTTGCCCGAAAATTGTGAGGGTTGAACTCAAAGCTCTTGAATATAGCTCGATAATATATTCCTCAATTCTCTCTGTCAGCCTCAAGACCCTTTTCATTTGTCACGGGTTCGGGGTGGTCCGAACTCTGTTCACGAATGATTTTAAAGTAATCTGACTATTACATACAGTTCTGTCTCTTTCAGATAAGTTTCGATTATGTGACAGCACGAGGAATTACCAGGAATGGACGAGTAGTAGAACTGTTGTAAAGTTTTATTACAGTTTTATAGACATGGTATCAGACAAACCTAACACGACACCGAGAGCTATAGCTATTTGATTTACAATAAATGAATAACCAACAGAAAACTAACAGTTATTTTACAAATCCATGAAAAGACAAAAGTTTAGCAGTGGATCATGAACTTGCTGTATTAGGACAATGTGTAAGTAGGTAGGTAAAATCTTTTTCGATTATTTAGTAATTTCTTACTAAAAGTTTCATCGCAAATCAATTGCAAGAATTTGTAGGATATAAGCGAATATGTACGTAAATTGTTAAATATTTTGAAAATTATATTGTTGTGCTTATTATCTTTGCAAGTAAAATTCATACATCCTTACATAAGGCATTAACCTATAAGAATATTTTTTCATAAACTTTAATCCCAGCCATAGTTTCGTGTACGTAGATATTAAGTGACATTAAGATCCTTGCTACTTATCTTTTTTTATAAATATCGCTCGAAGGGAAAATTTTATTCACATACATTATGATCTTTTGAATTTTACACACGAATATGTTTCGACAGAACTGTCTGAAAGCGACACAAAGGCCACTTGTGTAATACATTACTTGCACAGGGTTATGGACGACTCACAAATTGATATACTTGCTGATAAATTTCTATTTCAGCAATCCTTAACACGATGCGATCGACATTATTATGGTGCGTATATAATTAAATAAATTTAAGAGAGAATTTTCTACGTTCCCTTTCAATTGTTAAATAAATTCGCCCCCTAAGTTTGAAATTTCAATATTGAGCTAGATTTTGTGCGTCGAAAGAAAAGCTCAATGTGATCGATATTCGGTTCGGTATCAGTGTTAATAATATTTAATCGCTTTACGCAGAAATTGCTATTAAATCTGATAATAGATATACATTTAAAAACAGTTTCGACGACATTTAGATTTAGAATAACAGTTTTAGGCTACAGATCTCAGTTTCAATCGGAATTTGATAATGAACATTTTCATATACCGGATTATCAGGCTTTGTTAAGCCAGAAGAAATTATTTTCTTATTGCCCATTGACGAAAATTTACATAACTAACACATATGAATATATTTTTGTCATTTAGGCAAGTAAAATATCGATTTTAAATATAAAATATTCAGACATGGAAGCATATTTCAAAAACTTTTAATAACGCATTCTTTTTTTATTCGTGGTTTCTTTGTGTGGCCTAGAACAATGCCGTCACTGCATATTAGTTACGTCACTCTGTGCTATGTCGTTATTAGACCCAAACCTTCCAGCTTTTGATAAGACCGTGCCGCCTCCAGTCGCCTTAAAGCTCCTTGATCTGTCATAAGTCTTTTCAGCAAAACTCAACTGAACTGTATTCTACATGGTTCCAATCTATTATATCAGGTTTCCAGTCAGTAATGAAGTGCTGACATGGAAATTGTCATGTGGAGTTGAAACTAATGACAAATGTGGTAATTTAGTTTATATTTCGAAAAGCTGGACTGGAAAGTTTTCTCAGTGTATATTGTGCGCGATTTCATTAAAGGATTAAAAGTCGGGGCTGCAATTTTTCTTTCGTTGATGTTTCCTGCGAATTATATTTTATATAATATATAATTATATAATTCAATATATCATTGGTAATGGGAATCAACATTTAGATTCCCTGTCCATCTTTAGTGGTTCCTTTTCAGGTGCTGGCGTCACTATATCAAATATTATTTTGCCTTATTAATTTTTGCAATCTTGACGTTATAATCTAATCAGTTCAAAAATGTCTGCTTCATAGTTTCGGCGAGACGTTTATTAATTTTCAATCAATATCAATATTATTACTTTGAAAGGTGAAATTTTCTCTATTTTCAGAAACATAAGAAGATTGTAACAAGAATATAATAGGATTAATTGGAATACGAGGAAAATAATAGAAAAGATTATAACTTCATATACAACAGTTTTGGATGATAGTGAGAGGAAACTATTTGAAAGTAGGGTAGTTCTCAGTACATCCAGCAATTGAAATTAAAAGTCGAGAACACTGAATTTAATGAAAATGAAACGAAACGGTCACAACGTCGTTTCATTAAAATTAATAATCCAATATTTTTATTTGTGAGATTACAAGGACAATCACTGTGGGGAAATCAGATGTTTCTAAAGAGTAATTGGATAAGTTGGCACATACTGTCTGTATCAAAGTGGTAGAAATTAATTTCCTTCGAGAACATTTATAATATATGGAGAAAATTAAGTGTTAGGATTTGTTTATCGTTCATCTACTTTTCAAAAAAGTGGCTCAGTCGATTTATTAGCAATCAAAGTAAAAGATTCGCAACACCAAAGAGTCTTTTCATATAGGGAAATTCGTAAAAAATGATCAAATTAAATGGTTCTACTACACAATACAAAACAAACTCAACCGAGGAAGAATTGTTCAAAGAATCATAACATAAGTATTGAATATTTCTGTGAGATTATATTTACGAGGGTGACTCGACTTCTGTACATTGTTTTCTATATGCGCAATGTGATATTGGTTTTCTGGTTCGATTTTTCAGGAATATATTGGACTAAGAAAACGGAATTTTATTTGCGAAATTGCCAGTGTTTCCCGACGTTAATTCACATTATTTGCATTTTCATGAATACATTTTTGTGTTGGATTTTGTTAGGTGTAGCGCTATTCATGTATCTATAAGAAGAGATAATGTATTGGAGATGAGTATTTGTAAAGGCCATTTTGAATTTCCTCGAGGATAAGGCCCATATTACGTAAATGATGAAGCTAATATCTTGATGGAATGACATTTCGACGATAAGGACGCGTCCCGTGTTTTATGAAGTGAATAACGCTGGAGACGTGATAAAATATATACCATTTGATATATAAACAATAGATCTTAAACTGTTCAGTTATTAATTTTGACAGTCGGGAAATGGATTAATAGCCACGAAGTCCAATAACCGAGAGAATAAATGAGGCAGAATTCTTTAGAAATCTGAATATTTAAGTTACATATTCATCCTAGAATGAAATTGAATTTATCATCTATAAAAGTCTCATAGTCTGCAGAAAACGAACAGCCTTATTTATAGACCCTTTGTTCAGGTCCAACCTTCCTGGCAACGTTTACAATGGAAGTAAAAAACGTGACTTACTTCAATACAACTAATTTAACTGTGGTTGAAGAACTTTTCGACGCTGCGGGACTACCGGAAGTGATTTGTTTCAGTCTGTTGTTCCTGATAATAGGATTCGTGGGTATATCTGGAAATGGATTAGTGATTTATGTTGTTATTAGCAACAAGAAAATGCGACAATGTGCGACTAATCTAATGATTTGTAACTTGGCTCTGGCGGATTTAGTCATTATGATGTTTGGAATCCCCGAAATTGTCCAGTTTATGATTAATCGTGGTTGGATATTTGACCTTTTGACCTGTAAAATCAATCGATATATAATGGTATCCAGTTTGTATACGTCTGTTTTAACGCTCGTTGCCGTCTGCATAGAAAGGTGAGTATCCACAACTCAAAGACGTTTTACTACCTCTGGTTTTTACTGCTTCCGGTTATGTTGGAAGTGGCCTAGGTAGTGAGATAAACGGGACGTGGTAATGTATCTATGTTTCTTTGAAATTAGCATACTAATGGTAACTGTGATGGAACAATTAATAGCTGTTGGGCTTCCTAAAGATCATTCTCAATACGTTATACCTTGAATATCGATCGTAGTCAAAACCTTTAATTTCTGTGTGTCTGCAAACGACTAGTTGTTGGACTTTTGCACGTTCTTGTTTAAAAGTTGTGACGAATTTCTTATTTGATGAATAATTTGCATTCATAACATAGAATAAATGTCATACAACTGTGCTCGTCATTAGCAACATTCAGAACTTGAAATGATCGCTATCAATATCAATATACAAGGATAAGAACTAAGATTTCCGAGGATTCTTTTTACCAGCTGGCCCTTGGCAAAACCTCTTAGTATAGATCTTTCTTAGTATAGATCCTGGATTATCCGAACCTATTTAGACCGAGGTCGTCTACATAATATAATACAATACAATAATCATGGCTATTGTTCTATTGTAGGTATGTTGGTATAATCCATCCATTAAAAGCTTATGTTCTTTGCCACCGGAAGCGGATATCAGTAGTTATCGGGGTAATCTGGGTAATATCCTGTCTAGCTGGCATACCGACCTTGACCTTCAATGAAGTACTTCCCGGACAACAGAACGATACGTCATTGAAATTCTGTATGATGTCATTTCCGGCATATCATAAAACATTCTTTTTGGTATTTAAATTTAGCGAATTTGTGATATTTTATCTGGGCCCTCTGATTATCCAAGTTATTTTATATGCAACCGTGTCGAAACATCTTTTCGTCAAAACTGACCAACTACACCGAAAATTGAAAAGTTTTGACGAAAGTGGTACTCCTATAGAAGTGACATCAGAAGCAGTACAGGCTAGACGTGGTGTGGTAAAAATGTTAATTTTGAGTGTGTTGGTGTATTTCTTGAGTTATTCACCACAACAAATTTTGTTATTTTATCACGTGATCTATCCAGCGACATTCCAATCACATTGGTCGTTACAAGTGTGCGTTATGATCGTTGCTTATATCAACTCTGCCGTCAATCCTATATTTTACAGTATTTTCAGTCAAAACTTTAGAAATGGATTTAAACGTGTCTTATGTTGTGAAAAGGATCAGAGAAAAATTACATACACTTCGAGTTGCAGACTGGGACGTTTTATGATGGTCAGTACTTCTTGAATAGTAGAGAATATTTGATTGCTATTCACAGACGGTTATTCGCTAGATTTGACAACGTTAAACACGATAAGATAACCCAACTACCCCACCACCCTGAAAAGACAAACCAATTCCAGTACTGCAACTAAATTTCGTCTTTTAAATGAATAGAAATTTGTTGACTTTGTATAATTTTTACGTTCTAAAGAACGTACTGCGATGCGCGATATGGTCTTGGATTGGATCATAACCTGAATAGTTGCTGAATAGTGTGGGCGTTATCATTCCGTGTGATATAAAAGAAACAATTCTAGAGAAGCAAACTGTAAAACACCCGATGAACAGAACAAAAATAAACAGATTGTGCATTTTTTTATCTACAGTAAAGTCTTGGTTTTTTTTATGTACATTATGATGAATTGAAAAGTTGCTGTGTTGATTGAAATTCTAAAATGAATATTGAATGTGGATTAAAACTGAATTTAAATTTAAATCAATGTTTTAGATATCTTGAAAGAAGCTCGCGAATCTCTGATTAATTCCTTTTCGTTCACAAATGTCATTATTATTCGATGGTTATTACAAAAGAAGAAATAAAAAAATTATTAACAAAAGGGACCAGGGTTATCACTTTACAATCCATTATGACTAACATAGAATTCTGCCAATAACAGCTTATGTGGCAGCGATCGGCTTGTTCATGACAACTAAAATCTGTATCAGCTTTTCGAGAACACTAGCCAACATTTGTTGCAAGGAATGAAGACTAAAGCCCCGTATTTATATTTAGCAACATTGTCAGAGAGCTAATGATGACAGGCTTTAAATAGTATTGAATAGAGGCTACGCGTATCTCTCAGACACTCCATTTTGCGACAAGTCGTTTACTTGTACTAGCTCTTTATGAAGATTAGCACTTTCTATACTCACCGTACGATGTAGGGTGGACAACTCAATTACTGCATTTCAGTCTCATGAAACCACAATTAAAACGTTTTTATTCAAAATCGAGGTTAACAACGAGCCCACAACAGATACAACATATATACTCAATTACCATTACCAACCAAGACTACCTGTTGCCAGATGAAACCAAATATAGGGATATCTACTGAAACTGACTATGTTTCTATATAATTGTGAAAGCAGCATTTTTACACACATTTCGCCTTCGGGGTAACTATACTAGATAATATCCAACATGTATATGTGCGGAGAATCCTCATAAAACAGGACCTAACAATTTTTTTCTTTACACCAGCCACCAACATGCAAAAAACTTTAGTGAGAAAATTAAAAAGTTCAGGGGACGTAACTGATGACAATATTTATCTATTTCAATAGCTAAAGGGGGAAAACTGATTACAGATGTTATATTATGATGAGAAAAAATGTTGCAAAATATGTGTTTTTAAATAATACTATGTAGTTTTCATGGTTGTTCTTAGTACGATTTCACAAATTTAATCTTTTAAATATGATGCCTGAGGGAATATCGTTAACAAATCAGTATATCTATACTTATTTAGGGCTCTTACAATGGCGTGGTAATCAACAATGATAACGATATACCTTTAATCTTTATATTCAATGAATCCCTACGGCTATCTTTATCGTGAAGGAGGAGTATGAATAACTAGTAATAAACGTAACAGTAGATATTATTATATTGACGATAATATGTGATCAACAGATTGACTTCAGAACTTAAACGTGATTACTCAGTGACTTCAAAACTCAGAAGGTGTTGTTGCTGAATTCCCGGTCACTGGGCGATTATAATGTGTTTATCTCGATCGTTTTCCAGTTTAAATATCAGTGGAATCAAAGCTTTGACACTATGTTTTGGAATAGCTTTTGTGGTATTTTTCCTGTTGTATGTCACAAAGCCAAGTGATGTGGGCAACAGAAAACAATTTAATCCAAAGCCATTGGAATACAAGGTGGGAGTAAACACAAAAGAGGTATCGAAACAGAAGCAGAAATTGTTTCAAAGAGTAACAAAGAAAACAACCAAAGTTCCAACCAAGAAGACTACTCACAAAATAACTCCAAGACCAGAAACGACCAAGGCACCCAAATATACTACTACAACCAAACAACCTAAAGAAACATCTTTGCTGAATTCAAGAACAGAAACGATTAATAAATGCCCTTCCGTTCTAGAGGGTATGACTCTCGGAAGATGGCACACTCCGAAATTAACAGACGTTCAATTCCACGAAGCCTGGCAAATAATCAAAAAGGCTTCAAATAGACTACCAATATATCACAATCTACAAAGACCCGATCTTAAATGTAGCAATGAAACATTTAGACCTATTGCAAACTACATCCGGGCACTTTGCGATCCGGAGGGTGAAACGCCATGTTGTTTTAATAATATGTGTGTAGGCAAAACTGTTCGAGAATGTAGATGTACGGGTTGCCTTGATCTAAGAAGAGATGTTATTCACCCGAAGTATGCAAAATGGGTACCGCATGACAGACGCTGTGATTTCAAACCATTCACTAAGAAAGAATCATGTACACTTTTGGAAAACTGGACGGTTCACTTCGTAGGTGATTCTTTGGTTGAACAGCTGGCAACTGCAGTGTTTGTTACTTTGAGTGGAAATTTGAAAGATGGTGCCCTTGAAGCAGATATAAAACCAGGTAAGTGAAATTAAAACTGCTAAGTTTGAAAAACGTTGTAGGTTGTTTTCGGCTACCTGTGATTTGCAGTTCACTCGAACACGACCGAAAATTGCCGTTTTCTGCTTTCTGTTCAGTTGTTCGTTCGTATACGCCATTTTATGAAAAAGAGATTTATGACTTGTTACAAACTCGTTCCGTACCATTTTAATTTGAGGCAGTCCTACCAAATTAAGGTGTATCCACAGACACTTTCAAGTTTGTTGACTTGATATATGGTATATACATGTATTCATGTAATTATTAATTATGTTTTGTAGATGCGTTAAAACGATGCCAGTTCGACAGACAATTTGACAATGGTGGGTTATGTAAAACCCAGCTACGAAGAGAGGGAAAACTGTGCACAGGAAAGGTGGATTTTAAAGTCCATAAAGTAGAAGCATTGGCAGATAAAAAGAAATTTGACGATCTTATGGCCAGTGTGATAACTAAACCAAGGACATTAGTGTTTATTTCAGTTGGTCTTCATCAGAAAAGCGACACAAAAGTTGCCATGGAAACTGTTCTTCAAGATAGCCTGGACAAACTTAAAGCCAGCAAGTCCGTTTGGCCTCTGGTTATTTTCGGAACCATTCCGGCTCCTGGGCCATTAAAAAGTCCAATATTTGTGACCCAAACATGGAATAAAGTTCTTGCTTATAATAACGAAATGACAAAGCTGTTAAAATCTCAATATAACATTACAACAGTGGATTTTTTCCCGATGTCAGAACGTCTCATGCCTTACGATGGAACTCATTTTGGAATGTATGCTACGTTAAATAGGTTTTATCTTTTACTTCATTATTTTAAAGAATGGAAAGGAAAACAATAAAAGAGTTTAAGGTAGCAAGTATCTACGACTTTATGACAATATTGATCTGTGGACGGTAACAGACTACGTTACCACGTGCTTCCCGGTGGTAATTCTTTCGGCTCCCCCCACCCCCACTTTAAATTCTAGTTAGTGAAAGAATGGTCTACGCCCTTCCCCACCCCCCACAGAATATTTGGCCCTGCTTGCCCCCCTCACCCGATGTGTACTAGAAAAGCTTCAGATCATTTTGCTACTGGTTTTGTCGTCGTAGCAGTAATATTAATGTTTTTTAGACCGTCTAAGCAGGTGTGCCCCATTTGTTAATGATACACCAACTAGTGAACAAAAGTCAACAATCCCTTGAAATTTTTTCTGGTCCAAGCGCCAACAAATGTCATTATACATATTCAACGGTATATATAAGTAAACGTTTATGTCGGTTAGAATCACAAACAAAAGGAGATCCACATGCTTCGCATGGTGATATTATTTCTCGTAATAATTCACTAAGACTTGATGTAAGTTGCTTGAACACAAAGCATTTTCAACAGAAGTCGAGAGACGACAAAGCGAAGAAAAGGACGAGAAAGCGATGGTAAAATAGGCAAGGAAATGGCGAGAAAGCGAGGAAAAGGCGAGAAATCGAGAAAAAGCCTTTTTTCCTCGCTTTCTCGACATCTCACCCTTTTTTACTTTCTCGCCTTTTTCCACGACTTTTTTAAACCTCGCTTTCTGGCCTTTTTCCTCATCTTTTTCCTCATCTTTTTCCTCGCCTTTTTCCTCGCCTTTTTCCTTGCTTTCTCGCCTTTTTCCTCGCTTTCCTCGCTTTCCTCGCTTTCTCTCTTTCTCGCCTTTTTTTCATTCGTCTTTATCAATACACATTTTTGGGGAAACTATTCACTTTACGTCATTTGCTTGGTTACGTCGACATTGTCAACAGACATGAGACTTCGGCGCAACTTAGTTTGAAAATGGCTTAAAGCTGATCGGAATCGCTAGAATGCTCTGAAATATGTTGTGAATATTAAGGAAACGTGTTAGTAACCTTCTGCCAAGTTTCACATCGATGGCTTATCGAGGAAGGTTTGATGCGAAGCTGCAACATTCCCGATAATTTAATGGAGGCCGCCATTTGCAACCACCACCTATTATACCTTATACACATATTTTCGATAACATATTGTTCAACATCTCGGCAAAAAAATATTAGAAATATTAGTGTTTACAGTACTCTAGACTCCGATGATACAGATATCGGACCTATTAATATTATTGTTTCCAGTTCGGTGCTCGACAAAAGTACTGGTGATCGCTATCTCGAGCTGTGCACATCATAATATGATAAGGGTTGATATATTAATAGACACAATTTGTGTAATTAAATAAAAGTGTGTATAGTTAATACGCCTGCTTTTTATTGTTTGGTGTACAACTCTTGTTTTTTAAATCTAGCCAAAACAACAGTTACTTTATACCCCCTTTACACCGAGTTTGGACTGGATGGGGAGAACGGGTTAATTTTACCCGATCTGAACCTCATATAAACGGACAACAGACGGGATAAGGACTAGAAGGACGTATAAGGAACTGTTTTAGAACTAACTATGATTGTAATATAGACATTTTCCTACTAAATCGACACGTTCGAGCCAGTTCACAACCCGTTCTACTAGGTGTAACGGAAGCTTTGGTAATATCATGGCGTAAAAGGTTCTCAGAGAGCACTATACGAGTCTTGCGCTCTTAGTTTCCACTGTGTCCATAGACATACGATTTTGGGTCGACCTAGTATAATGTTGATTTTCAATTCAGTTTCCTGATGCCATTTTGCGGTTAGATTTATCGTCTCTATATTGACGTCCGCTTACGTTGTGTAGTTGTTCAATATAGAGAAAAGTTTTAATTTAAATAGTTATAAACTTTATATCATTATCGAAGTCAGTAAAGACGTTATAAATATCAGAGGACATAGAAAGATTTTTACAATTATTAAAACATAGGACCGGGAACTATTCAGTGGTAGAATAGGATGCATTTCGTCTTGATCATCAGCCGTTAATTGAGTTACGGAATCGATTTCTGTCTTTCTTATCGCATTTGTTGCCTCCTGTTGCCAATTGATAAAATATGTTCGAAGAAAAATGCAGGAACAAACTACTATCAAAACTATAGTCAGTGATATCAATGCTCCATATACTTTCAGTGGAGTCCAAAACATCAAAAATATAGAGAGTGGGATACCAATTACACCGAAAACAACAATATCTATCACAGCAAGGAACAGCTGTTTGCCACAAGCTCGAATTGTCCCACTAGAAATGATGGCTATACCATCAAAGAACTGGACCACGCTCACTACCACAATGAATGGTTTAGCCATTGAAATGACTAACTTATCCTTAGTAAATATGGACGGGATGACTTTATGCATCGTCAATAAAATACTCACATATACAAGAGGTAACCCCACAGAAACGTAAACTGTAGCAATTGCTGCTATCTTAGCCTGCTCGTGGTTTCCACTTCCCAAATAGTTACCAATCTGAATCGTCCCGGCTGTCAATGCTCCACCTGCTACGTTGAATAGTAGTGAAAATATGTTGTTAAGTATCAAATAAGCGGAAAGCTCAACAGCTCCTATAAGTCCAACTAACAAAGTGTAGATCTCGAAACAAGACGTTTCCAATCCGCTCATAAAAGCATTTGGTGCAGCTATACTAAGATGTTCATTCCAGTTATCCAAGCTTTGCATTGAAAACCCAGTCCACGTAGATTGGTGGCTTCCACTGTATTTGATGTATACAAATAATATCATATTCCAAGATAAAAACGTGGCACTCAAAGCAACACATATTCCTTTAGCACCTAGTCCCATGACAAACGTGAACAATATTCCGTATCCCACGTGAAGGACATTAGCTATTATCCCGATGGGAACAATACACTTCACAATTTTCTGGCACTGAAGATATTTGATTTGAATACTCAACATGGAACAAAGGAAAAGACATGGCAGGGCAACCAAAATAAACTCTTGACACTTGTGTGTCAATGCGGCATCTTGTCGGAACAGTTTTAAGAGAAATCCCGCATGAACTAATACAGAGCTAACTAGAAAGCACAAATTAAACCCGAGCCACGAACACCGTTGAATAACAATGCCAAGAGAGTTTCGATGTTCGCTTCCGTTTGTCTGGGACAGAAGAGTTTCAGCCGCTGACGATAGTCCAAAAATCGGCGACAATGCCACGGAATATATCACAGACAGACTCATTCCGACTATGTCGAAATCCTGGGTTGAGTAATGCCCTGCTAGAAAATTGCTTATCACAAATGGCATGCAAATTAGAAGTTGAGTAGGAATCGTCAAGTACATCAATTTGGATATTTCAACAAATTCGCCTAAAACCCCTTCCATTTTCAACATGTCAATTCATACTGCCACTATCTAATGTGTTTCCATTTAATTTATTTTAATATGTAGGTAATTATTGTAGATAAAAAAAAAATCAATAGACAAGATATTTTACAGATATCAAATGTCTGCTTAGAGAGACTGTCAAGAGGGTTTTTTTCAAAATTATGTGCATATTGGGGACACTGATAGCATCAATTCGCACCATTCCAATTTTTATTCAAATGTTGTGGTTCTTGCAAACCCACTATAAAGAGACTGTAAAGTGGTTTCAAGTTAGATCTGAAATATATTTTCACCATTCATGAAACATTTAAAATCCAAAATTAGTTCTCTTCATTTAATTACTAATATGCTGTTGGTTATGCTGGTGATCAGTCATGCCTAACTTAAGCAACATTACACGGATATACTTTACTATCCGATAGAGCTATCCGTATCATTTTTAAACTTTTGTACCAGGTTTGTCTACAATAACGCGTATGAAAGCTGTGGATTAAATGGGACTTTTATTCACTGAGATGTTTTCATTTCTTCAGATCGCGAATATATAGACATTCTGAACTACACGGTATAGGCAGTTTTCTTTTGTCCAGGAAGTACCACATGATAATATGGATGATAAAGACAAATTTTACATGAATCCATTACGTTTTAAAACAATAACGGAGAGATGATAATCACATTATTGGCACAATTATGTTTTAATGTTCTATTGGTGGTATATATGATTTCAGCAGAGAAACAATTTCTATAATTTTGTCCCACCCCAAACTCGTCGTTTCTTCTCACGCCACATTCAGGTCACATCCAAAAATCGACGGAAAAGAAGCAGAGCCACTCAGACCAAACAATAATTCTGCATTAATGATTGTTATTTTTCAAATATTTTTTAGGCCAGGTCTGAAACTTGAAATAGCAATTTATCTCCGTTTTTTTGGGAACATATCAAAAGATTTATAACAGATCATTCAAGCGTATATTCAATGCACCAGCGGTGGTCTTTATTCGGTTTGCTTTATTAACAATATTAAAGGCCACCACATGTTAATTTTTCTTTAACAAGTACAATGTATTTATGTTTTTGTCTGGCTTTCATATGAGATAAGAGAAAATTTTCCACAAGATTTCTGGAAAGTTATAGAGGGTAAATTTATTGAGTCTGACTTATGTATAATTTCAGTAGTTATTTCCCTTTATTCAGTATAACCAATTGGAGTTGTCGCGATTGCAAACCCTAACACCGTGGTCTCTGGGAATGAAATGCACATGCGTTTGTAGTTTGGAACACCTGATTAACTTACAGATCAGCATGCCCCTTCTTTATTATGTCAACCTATCAAGCCCATCGCAAACTCGATTTATAAATCTTCGCCGGGAAATTTGTGGAGAACGTAGAGTGACATCTCACTTGGGGCATCTTTACATGTCTGTAAAAGATAAAACGGTTGACCCGATGCCGTTATTTGAATGTGATTATATGAATCGACTCACTCTAAGAACGATTTAAATGATGATTTTCAAATTTTTACGCAAAATGTCCGATTATAACTTTATATCAATAACAAAATATTAAATTTCTACATTCTAACATTACTATATTAAGCTGATTTTTGTAATCACTTAAAAGAAATCGGTAAAATTCCATTTACTGACAAACGTAAAGAGACTGTATTACTTAATGATATCAGTACTTAATGATATTGACAAAAATGCCTTTTTACAATTCCATTGTCCAAGTTAAGTACAAATATTAAATAGTTTTCGAACAAAACGATCGAAATGAGGGTTCAATAATACGAGAATATTTGTTCACCATATCAATTCTTCATCACATTTGGTGGTAGGGCTCGTAACGATCAACAAAACAATATCCAACCGAGATCAAAAATAGCTTCTACTTTGACCGTCAAGTCATCACAGAATTCTTTCTTCAATCCAATTATTAATGAGAAAAGATAAAATGTGAAACTGTATGCCCTGTGAACTTCTCCGATAGCAAGGAAACGAGTTGCAATATCACCAATATCTGATAAAATTTCAAGCAAATCAAATTTCATTGAAAAAATCAATTGAACTTTGTTTCTCGAGTTTCTTGTTGAAGAGGAGTTTCATCATGTGATTTGTTTCTAAGTTTAGAACATGAGTAGTATTTTTGTTCAAATATTGGAAGGCTCAGTTCGTACTGGGTTCAAAAGAGCACAAATCTCAGATTCAAGTTCCATTTGAAAATTCCTAGACTGTACGTACCAATCTGGTCGATTGTATTACTAATTGTATGGCGATAGATTATCCGTCTCCACTGTATGTGAAAAAAGAGTTCTGATCTTCAAAACCTTAAGGAAACTTCTATACTCTAACAGTTGACAGTATATTTGAAAGAAGCTGTGGCCAGGAAAGATAAAAGAGGAATTTTGGACCATTTGGTCACCATTTGCTATTGTTGATAACCTTGGATAGATGCGTAGTCGAAGATTATTTGACTTAAGAGTCTTGTTGAGGGTCAGTAAAGAGCAATATTTCAATGGTCCCTGGCCAGTGCGACATGGAAGAATGGCGACTTTTAAATGTACATTATCATAGTCTCACCAAGCTTACAAGAGAACAGTTCTAGTATGGAACACAATTAACTGTTCACTTATTCAAGGTCGAAGGTGGCTGATATATGGAGACGGTCTAGAGCAATAATTCACCGTTTACTACACTGGACAATAGCGGACAATTCAATAGAACAATTCATGATATATGACGATATCCAACAAGAAATCATTTATCAATTTCAATCTGTGGCCATTCTCTAACTGATTTTATTGATCTGGATGAATTCTAGACGTTGCTTGACCTTAAAGGTCATTCTGAGAAACATCCACATTATATTTAACTCTTTAATCTCATTTTCTTTTTATATAACGTTGAATGGAAATATTGATAATTAGACAGAATCAATCTGTCAACATTTTCAACTGCTTTACTGCATTTCAATTCTTCATATTCTTGGTTTAATTCCCATCTGAAGGAATCGTGGGTGGGATCTTACATACAACAGTTTTAAATAGTTTGAATGTCTTTTTGCAGGACATATATAACACAAGACAATAATTATGGGAGAAAACTCACTTCTTTAATACGTGGTTCATACACGTGTCGTCAAAAGTCCTAGCTTCTAAATGTCGTTCACATCTCTTTGGAGGAGTTGTGTGGTTGGTATCTTCACTACAATGCCAAGTAGATTGCATTAAAGCTTTTTAACCCTATGAAATCACCGTTCTTCTCTAAGTTCTATACTCATTTTCATAAATAATAATGATAAGGAGTCTCTTAATAACACTTCCTATAAATATTTAGCATCCCTTTACAGTCGAAAACAAACAACATTTTCTTTTTTATCGAAAAAGAAACTAGGTTTGAACATTAGCGAAATACATCATAATGCACAAGCTAACTGAAGAATTGAAAATGCTTCGATGGAAAGGGTACTAGAAGTAGTCAGTAGGTAAAAAATACACAAAGAGGCGTTCAATTCTGGAATAATCCCTCTGTAAATCGACCAAGTAATTCTGTAACTTCCTTATAAGCTTTATTGTGGTATCATATCACGACATGAAAGAACCGTAGGATATTGAATTTTCTTATTACTCTCAGTAGACTTATGCGGTAGATCACTGTATTGCAACGATTCAATCTGCAGTCTGTCGTTCTGCACTTCAATCTAATTACAGAAAAATGCAGTTTGACAAATCTGTTGAAATTGACACATGGTCATGGTGTAGAATATTTCAAAGTCATTTATCTGACGGTGGCAATCAGGCGGTTATTACAGAGTTATTCCAGTTATTTATCATTCCGCTACACTGACAATATACTTGTAACCATATGATGAAAATCATTCATGATGAAGGGAACAGATATTAAAACTTCGATTCAAACTGATCTGTTAACAATTGTAAATAGATCCCGTTTGCATGACGTATTTTCAGATTCTGCAATAAAAAAAATTAATGTTTTATTATAGTTCTCTCACCATGGATTCTTAGCTTAGTTAGGAAGCAATATTGCATTGAAATTGAATCAGTATGATATCTATAAAGAATTAATTTAACTTGATAACAGGATTATGCTAGAGTGGTTAACATGTAATATTGGTCCTTTAATTTGTAGTATAAATTTAGTTTTATGACATGCTTGTACTTGTAAAAGCTTTGGATGCTGGGAAGTTAACAAGTGCGACTAAGTCTGTCGCTGAACAAAGTAGAGGCAATTCTATCACGGGCCTCTTTAGGTGTTGTGCTTGTTCAGTTTGTATAGTATTTTTTTGATGGTTGTTTTAGCTAGTGATATTGTTTTAGATAGTACTTATGAAATTCTCAATCTGGTTTATCTTGAAAATAAAGCATCTACTTGTTGGGATAGCATTAACTTTAAGTTTCGCAAGTTAGAGATTAGCGGGCCTATAACTGTCTTCAAAGATAATAATACTGTAGACATTGTATCACCAGTAAGCTGTGCTTTCTCAGCAAATTTTACATGGTTTTTCTGTAAGTTGGTCTGAAAGCCGAAACTGGTGATGCATCAGACATTGGTTTAAGCGTGTCTGTCCGAAGACGACTGGTTCAGAAAACCAAGGTCAGACATATTAACCCCTTTCAGCTCATCGATAAGATAAATTTAGTTGAGTCAATTGTCTAGATCTTTAATAATATCACGATCGTTTAATAATCTGTATTTTCTTCTAAATCACATCCTTTTGTCTTTCTAATTCTATTGTGAAAATTGGAAATTGTTGAAAATATATTGATATGTAGATGAGAAGATGGTCCTATTAAAATGTCTGCCGACTTAAGTAGTTCATAAAATTTGAGTTTAAGTAATTTTGAACACTTATCGCTTTGCTTTATTATATTGAGACGCCCTCAAGGGATCCTCAATTTCAACCACGCTATTACCCTGAAATATATCAATACTTCACAAGAGCAAATCTTGTCAGCATCCCATAAGTCTATCCC